CCGTCGCACTCTCTCCTCCTCCTCCTCCAACTGGATCCGGTGGTTAGACATAGTCAATAAGACCGGAAGCGGGGGAGGATGGCACGGTCGAGTCCGCACCTTGGCGCTCCACTCCACACCCCCTGGTCAATACAGCAAATGACCAGGATTTTAACCAACAACAAAAGGGGCTGGCGCGGCTGGAGCCGCACCGAGGCGTGTAGTCACACCCAGCTCGGTTCCCACGGATTGGGAGTGCCATAAAGGCCACCTTAAGAAGGAGCCTTGTACAGCCTAACACAGACCACCAGTCGGCCCCTCCACACAAACACACAACACTGGGTCGACTGTAAGGTCCACATTATCCTGTCAGTTGACAACCTTCCAATCCACGGCTTTTAGCACATCGTGATATCTTCAAGTGCGTCAAATTGTTTACAGGTGTGAAAATGAGTTGAGTCGTCGACCTCACTCTCCCTTCCCATTCCCAGGCCCCAGTCACTGCCCGAGTTGGCCAGTAGACAGGGGCGGGGAATGGGCGCGAGGGCTGACATCACTTGTGACCTTGTCTTTGCGCGCAACATGCACCACCTGGCCCTCCAAACACAAGCACCAGGATTTCACACAACGAGGATTGGGTGGCGTACATCTCATATGCGTGAGAGTGCCGTAGGTCACGCTAAGAAGGAGCCGTTTCAGTCTGGCTCATGAATCATCAGTTCGCCACTCCACACACAAACACACACACAACAGGACGGACTACGTGGACTGAGTTGGGGCGTCAGTCAGCAACCTTCCAAGCCACAACGCTTAACGCACAGCGATAGTTTCAGATTCGAGTCACAAATGTAACAAAGAAGCCGCATGGGGATGGAGCCGAGACGCACACTTCCCGCTTCCGTGAGAGGTGGGAATTGGATGCTGGTAGTGGGTGATGATGTTGTATGGTGCAGGTTTTGGTGGTGTGGTGTGGCAGGAGGTTGCCTACCGCAGGTTTTCGTGAATGTGCATGTTGTCTAATAGGCCCATGCTGTAGGTGAGTTTTCAGACGCAGTGAGGACATGTGAGACGGATTCGGCAAGTGTGATAGGGTGCTTCAAACTCTAGTTTGCCGGGATCTGTGCGAGGATTCGCAAGTAACCGACCAGGCCAATGCGTGAGATGAATGTACGGCGACAGTGGCGACAGGAGAAGTCGGCGGTGTCATTTTTGGTCGCGGAGATGGTGGCAGTGATGATGCTGTTGATAGTGGACGAGCTGGACGACGGCGTATGTGTTGGGCTGGACATGGTGGGTGTCCAAGATGTGCTGAATGTGTCGGGGCTAATGACAGTGGGCGTGCCGGGCGGCGGAGCGTGGGTTGAGCTAGGCATGGTGGATGTGCAGGAGGTGCTGGGCGTGTCGAGACCGCAGCCAATTTCGTCCTCGTGGATGCGCATGTGACCGACTAAATCCATGCGGTGAGTGAATGTGCGGGGGCAATGTCGATAGTGGAGGCGAATGCGGTGGGTGTATGTTGGTGCTTCAGGCACTGGTTCGCCAGTCTCTGTGCGACGGATTCGCAAGTGACCGACCAGGCCGATGTGTGGTAAGGGTGCAGTCGCTATTATGACAGGTAGGGATCGAGTCTGTATCGCGGGTCCTGACTCTGGGGAGGTTGATGTCTGTTGGTGCGTCAGGAGTGTGTGCAATAGTGGTGGGTACAGGGGCCGCCGCAGCGGATGTTGAAGCGGTGGAGGAGTAGGAAGTGGGTTTAGGAGTGCGGTCAGTGTTAGTTGTCGGTGTGGGGGGCGAAGCAGAGTTGGACGAGGAGACATCGCATGGCGTCGTCCGGATACTGCAGTTAGTACGAAGATGTCCTATAAAAGCGATTGGTGCCCGGACGTCCGCTGGCAGTGTGGGCAGGTCAGGGGTGGTTGAGCATTGGCGTTATGAGGTGGCGACGGTGGCAGCTGAGATTTGCGAGCCTTGCGTTTGGCTTTAGCAGCTGTGATGCATGAGGCTTTGTAGATTGCTCAGCAGGTCTTTACTGCCCTCCTCCAAGTAGGTCGGTCCTGGGCGAGGTCTTCCAATTTGGCCGGGAGGGGGGGGGGGTCGCAGACGCTTCAGAAAGGTCTTCAGATTATCCCTGTAGCGTTATACTTAACATCCCTCTCGGCGGGCACGCATAACGACATCTACAAAGAAGAGACGCTTGGACAGCCGCTTGTCGTACCGTAGATGGGCTAACTCATGAAATGTCAACCGAAATCCCGAAAGATTAATTAGGCAGGGTTGTGAAACTAATCATCACGCGGCGTAATTTTATAATACCCCAGTTATCCCAGGACGCCGGCTTTCGAACTGACTTCTTTTCGGCAGCATGCAAAAGCTATACTCTGTAAAATAAAATGACTGCTTAAATAGCATGCATTTTTCCCATTGATTTTCTATGCCCTAAAAATGCAATTATATTTCATGGAAAACATGCATAGCAATATTCATTCTTTTACTTATTCGGTAGAAAATCGGGTCTTCTAATTTCATTCTCGAAGGAAGGGTATAATTCGGTTTTAAAAAAAGTTTCTAATTGGGAGATTTTATAATGCCGTGAATTGGCCGCTCATGCAACGTCCTCTCTCTGCGTTTACCAATGTGGCTCGCAAAGTGAACAACACGGCTCAAATCTACTGCTGAATTTTATGAACCCCATATGGTGTCAACTTAATGCGGTAGAGAAACGTATGGTTTTCCGTACGCGAAAATATATGGTTTATAGTTTGGAAACCCTGAATGCGAGTGTAACGGCAGGTCGGGTGAAAAAGTATTCGGGATTTGTGAAAGTTTTTGAAAACCTAAGTATACACTTCTTTCGAGTATAAAATTGAAAGAAGACGTAATTTTCTACCGAATAAGCAAAAGAGTGAATATTGTTATGCATGCCTTCCATGAAAGATAATGAAATTTTTAAGGGCATCGAAAATCAATGAGAAAAATACATGCTATTTGAGTAGTCATTTTTTACATAGTGAAGCTTTTGCATGCTGCCGAAAAGAAGTCCGTTCGAAAGCCGGCATCGTGGGGTAACTGAATTATTATAGATTTATGCCGCTTGATGATTAGTTCTCTAATTCTGCTTAATTAGTCTTTTAGAAACAAAAACGCATTTCGGAATTTCGGTTGGCATTTCATGAGTTAGCCCACCTACAGTACATCCGCACTAGGTGCCGTTCCAGCGCAGTTGTATTTGTCTCAGTGTGGCATAGATGCTGAAAATTCCCGTCCATTCAGTTACGTCCTTGTCGAGGATCCGGTTCTGTCACTTTTGCTTCCATATCTGCCGAGGAAGGTTTGTGCTCCTGCACCTGTTTCTAATACACCGTCCATGTTTCCGCTAAATTCAGCAGTGTCGGCAAAATGACTGCCTTGTACATCTTCAATTTGGTTCTAAGATGGAGATTGTGTCGATTCCAAACTGTGTTTCGCAGACGGCCGAAGACTTGGCTGTCTTTGGAGATTCGGCGGGCCACTTCATTGCCGATCTTGGTGGTGCGAGAGAGAATGTTGCGCAGATACGTGAAGTTAGCTACAGCTTGCAGTTGGGCCCCGTTCACGTTGGTTTGGGGTGCGACGTAAGCAGCTTCGGGTGGCGGTTGATGCATAACCACCGTCTACTCCGTGTTGATGATTAGGCCGGAGATGTCGCAGGCGGCGACGAATTAGTCCATGTTCCTGTACATGTCTCTTTCTGTGATTGCGTTGGGAGCGCAGTCTTCGGTGAAGAGAAGTTCATGAGCGGAAGTTGTGAACGCACGAGTCTGAAAATGCATCCGTTGATGGTTGACGATCCTGTTAGCGACGCGGATCTCAGGGCGTTCGTCACGGTAGGCGTTCATCAGCATGACAGAGATTGTAAGACTATAGAGGGTAAGCGCGAGGGCGTAGCCCAGCTTCATTCCGTTGGTTGCTGCGAGTGCCTCTGAGACAGCTTAATTGTCCGTGAGGCGCACCATCATGCCATCGTGGAGGTGGCGCACCATCTGAGTGAATCATTCGGGACAGCCGAATTCCTGCATGACTTTCCACAGTCCTTCGCAATTCACCGTGTCAAAGGCTTTCGTCAGATCCACGAAAGTAGAGTACAGGTGGGTCCGCACCTCCCGGCACTTCTCCTGCAGTTGGCGGGCTGCAAAGATCATGTCGGGGGTTCCACGATGAAGACGGAAGCCGCACTGGCTATCCGGCAGGATACTCTGTTCAAGATGGTTGTTAAAACGGTTAAAAAGAAATTGAACGAAGATTTTTGCAGCGACGTTCAGCTGTGAGATGCCTCAGTGGTTGTCGCAGAGTTGGTGGTTACCTTTCCGTTTGTAGAGATGAACAAGTGTGGCGTCCTCGAAATCCTGAGGAGCTTCTGCTTGATGCCACATCTCATGGAATAGCGTCGTCAGATGACCCATGATTTGGGGCCACCATGTTTGTAGATCTCGGCAGTGATCGCGTCCTGTCTGGACGCTTTCCCGCTGGACAGCGGTTGCACGGCCCTGATGGTTTCGTGGAAAGAGGGCAGGAGGTCAAGGTCGGCGTTAGTCTCCACTTGAGGTCGACAGGCGATACTGGCGTCGGAGATGGTGGATGGACGGTTGAGGACTCTTTTGAAGTGCTCGACCCATCACTGAAGAATTCGTGTCTTCTCGGTGAGCAGGATAATGCCGTCAGCGCTGAGAATAGGAGCAGTACTATTGGCTGTGGGACCGTAGACAGCCTTGATCGTAACGAAGAAGTTGTTCCATTCGTTGTGGTATGCGTACCATTGGATTTCCTCGGTCTTACAAGCCGTCCAAGCGTCCTGCACAGGGCGGCGTAGGCTTCATGAAGGCGTTTCTTCTCGGCGAGCAGGTTGCTGATGGAGACGTTGTCATCAAATCAGTTCTGGTTTATGGCAACGTGGGGGGTACGTAGACGTTGACGATGGTGGTGAATTTGCCTCCCCGGAGGGACAGGCGGATGCTCATCGGGCAATCATTGGTACCCTGTGGTAGACAGGCCAGTCGTCCAACGATGTCGTTTCGGATGGCAAAGGCAACGGCCGCGTCTCATCGCTCTGCTCTGGGGTGACTGCTCCAGAAAAAAGATGTAGTCGGCACCCAACTCCTCCAGTTGGCCTTGTTTAGAGAACCGGGTCTCGCTGACTGCGGCAATGTCCGCCTTGTGGTATGCCAATTTCCGAGCAACTAGCATTGTTCTCCGTCCCGGTCGGTTGCTCCTCGGATTGTCGAAAAGGGAACGAACATTCCAGGCTGCCAGAGTAAGCGGACTCACCCTGCCAGTCTGACGAGTGGGGTGGTGGGTAAGATGAGGGGAAATAGAGAGCATGGTTTTTGTTTGAGTGTTTCGACCATGTGTTTTGCGTCTGTGGGCCATGGTCAGCCTGCAGACGGCGTGAATTCCAGCATTTGTTTGAGACATCTGTTCTAACCCCGTCCCATTTGCGTGAGGTGAACAATACTCTCCTCAAATAGGGCTGTTCCTTTGTCCCAGATGACTGCAGGACTCCGCTATGGGTCACGACTTTGTTTAGTGGCTAAGCGACCCGAGTTAGCCTGAGCCGCCCGCGTGATCGCTGTCACACTCGCCATAGGAATTTCTGAACGGGAGGAGTTGGGGAATGGGGAAAGGGTAAAGAGACGGTAAGCAGAGTTTCCCGTCCCTCTATAAACTAACTGGTTGCTGAAATATAAATAGTGAGCAGAAGAATTCAACAAAACGTGTTCAACAGAATGGTAGTTAGCTTACAAAAAGGACAACCACAGGCAAGCAGACAAAGGCAAGCAAGCAAAGAGCAGAGGCAGTAGAGCAATACTCGGCTTACCAAGCCGTCGCTTACCTTGTGGCTTCCAGCAGGGTTGCGGACAAAGCTTCATCTTGAAGGTGGCGAAACGGTGCTCCGTGGAACTACGGATCACGTGGTAAGAATAGAGTAGGGCAGAGGGTAGAGGGAGTGAGGGACAGAGGAGAAGAGCAGAGAATAGGCACGAAAGAGAAGTAGCATGAGCGGTTCCAGTCACTGGGCCAGTAGTTTCCCGAGCGCATCTGGCCTCCTGTGGGGTTGCAGGCGGAGCTTCATTTCAGAGAAGCCGAAGCGCTGTTTCATTCGGCCAGCGATGGGGGAAGCGGAGTTAAGTTACCATTTACGGAGATGCTCACACGGACGCTCTCAGATGGTTTAGCCTGCCAGTCGGGACGGTTACCAGAGTGTGGCCACTAGTCAGAGCTTAGCTTCGGGGAGCTACATCTGACAGGTTGGTGGTCATTAAAGGACGCTAGACGTAGTGTACATCTGAAAGCAAATGAGCGACCTCCTACGACCGTCACGTGGACCCACAATAAAACACCCCTACACCCCCATTGCTAGTAATAATATGCTAATTACTGTTTAAAACATCGTAACCACTGTTAGGGGGCACTCACCGATCGTTCATACGGAACCCACTCGTTCCGTTGTGCCTTATGGACTCTCTCTCGAGCCCAACCAGCAGCCGCACAGCGGCGCATGATATATAGGCAGAATAGTATATATTGTATATTCCCGATCGAAAACCGACAAGGCAACGGGCCGTGGCCCGGTGAGTAGAGGCGTTGACTTCTAAACCAACAGGTCGCGAGTTCGAGGCTCGGGTGTTCCACACTTCGGACTTGGGTATGGCTGGCTGACGACGGCTAATAAGCCAGAAATGGCCATTCCAGTCTCCCTTGTCTTTGTCGGTAATACTATCGTAACCACTCTTAATAATCCCCCCAACACCTACAATCAGTACTACTAAAACTGCTACTGGCAACGTGGGTAGGCCAGTTATTACCCTTACTGTCACGCTATGGTCCCAAAAGTGAGGCGTTTATCATGTATCCGTTCAGTGTAGTGGAAAATTCCAGTAGATGGTTTTTAGGATCGGTTTGAAAACATAACAAATTTATCCCTCGGTTTCTGCTTCTTTATTGGATATTTCCATCCTGCGGAGGCATAGTCAACATGTTTCGAAAATCTGCTTAGGCTACTTATAATAGATAAGATGGTATTTATCGTTTTGTCAGACAAAGTGCCCGTTACGGATTTGTCATATGGTTTTCGGTGACTTTGTGTCACATCGGTCTCTGGAGCCAGGGACTAACTTCCGCGCAAACTTCCAAACAGTTTAGTAATCAGGTTCCTGAGCTGCGCATTGCGAAAACTTGCGCCAACCGAATGTTCTGAACATGGACCATGTATATCGAATATTAAGAAGCGCAGGCGATGATGTGAAAACGTTTCGTTATTCGGTATTTTCTTACGCGAAACCTACTTACATAAGGGTGAACCCAGTAGAATATTTAAAAGAGAATTAAAGAATATCATAAGCGTACGTCAGAATTACACTTAAGCCACACTGCGTAAATTAGTAAACTATTCTTACCGGCTGACAATAACATTTGTCATGAAGGAGGCACGATCGCTGAGACAAGAACTTTATTCACCTGACCTGTTGGATTCCTGCTCGAAACCATCATCAGAGACAATAGCCGATACGGATTTCGTTATTCACCACGCTTATTCATACTGCCTTGCACGTCCCTACTGTCTGAGGCACACGGTAATGGCCTTGGAACTTTATTGCTACCCGTTTGAGATGGCATCGTTTCCTATGTATTCAGTGCCTTCATTAACCTACGCAGAGTGGACAGCAGTCAGCGATGTTTGCTGTGTACCGATAAGATGGCTCACAGATAGTCAACATTGTCATTAAGGGCAATCATTGGATGTCCCCGAACTTCCACTCGAACGATTAATATCGCACTGGACAAAGTTACTGGCTGTTTATCGTGCCCAAGACGTGGCGTGAAAACGCGGTGCTGTTGATGGACAGAAATTATTCTCGTCGTTCATGTCTAACGGCAGAGAGTGAGGTATTCGAAAAGAACTGTAGTGCTTTGATACACCAGCTGGTGTCCTACCTTTAGTAGTTACTAAGCTGTACGAGGCGCTGCTTCTTATTCGGCGTTGCCAAGGTCGTTTGTCCATCGGAGGGAATATAGTTTCGTTCCTTTGACTGCTGTGGAGTAATTTTATGTAAAATAAGTTAATGGTGATATTTCCCTGCTCGGCCAGACAATCAGGTTAGGCGTTGACTTTCATCATCCGAACAAACTCGGTAACAGTTTGCACATGAAAATGTGGACGTAAGCATGACGATCCTGCAGAAAGTTGTAACAACGAAGGACGCCTCCTACAAAAGTACCCAAATGCGGTGGGAACGAACGTCATGTAAACTGACCGTCAAAATGAACACATGAGGAATGAAAACGTAGATATCATCATGCACCGTACAAAATAAATTTTCGCGGAATAACGGTTACTTGTAAATTTATGCTAATTTGACGCTGCTGTTGTTCTACAAGCAGGCGATCGCAGTCCACAAAACTTGGTAATCAAGACTGGTAGCGAAAGGGATTCGGGTTATTTCCTGCAACTTCCAGGCGCCTGTAATGCGAGAATGGTGGTAAAGGGGGTTTTACTGATGGGGCCTTAGGGCAGGCCAAGGGAAAGCGGAAATTTAGGGGGGCAAAGGGTGTCATATTCGAACAAACAAAGGTAGTTTAAAGGAAGTGAAAGTGAATTACTTAATGTGAAAATTAAAAGGTGTCTGTAGGACAGTTTATGAAAGCCACTGGAGTGTACGGTGCGAGGAAAAAATGCAACGGGAAAGCTGTCAACCAGTAGGAAGTGGAAACACATTGCCAAGGTCGCCCAGCAAAATGTTCAAAGGAAATGATGGGTGATCCAGACAACGGCGCAGAACAAAGTGAAGAAATGGCCACGGGAGGCAGTAAAGAAGTTGAGGAACGTACGTGTGTCGTATACTTTTTAATTTAATAGAGGAATGTCCAAAATGAAGTAGCAGCCCATGAAACCGTAAAGTCATTTGTTGAACGGGACAGTGAATTTTTATGCTAAACCTCCTATTTTCAGAGTAGACCGAGATTCCTATTTGGACTGGGGCAATGTTTGACAAAGCAGGCTGACATTAAAAAAAGTAATGTAAACCCGCCCGGCTTTTCTCGAAGAAAATGGATTCATTAGGTCGGCGACTTCAGTGGACGTAAACCGCACTACAGCAGTGGGATGATACAGCGTTCCGCAAGATGTGTGCTCGAGAGACTCCTGAACGATATGAAGCAAATAAGGGGAAACTTTCCTAAGGCACATGGCAGAATCGTATCCAGTTAATGACGGTCAACAAACAGTGCTACAAACGTCTCAGCAAACGGACCGGTAGGTAGATCTATAGCGTTGATAGTGACAACGTAGTTGAAAATACAGCAGAAAGGCAGCACATGGAAACGGATATCCTGAGCCTTTCACAAGCCCAGCCATGTACATCACCAAGCAACTACCCTCCAGAGAGGTTGTCTGGTATATGTAATTCATTAGTATAATTTTGTTGAATACGTCAACGGCATTCTTCCTAAAAGCAGCGCTCACGGAACGCCCTTCTGAAGCACCTCGGTGACGTAACCTGGCCGTGCGCACTCGCTGTAGTGGTATCGGAAAGGAAAAGTCATGGGCGTACGTAGCCTAACCACTCGCCGGATTGGGAAGGAAAGCGGCTGTATGGTCAACTGGAAGCCAGCCGGTGTGTACTCCGTCCTAACAGTGCCTTGGACACTATTTCAACGCAACTTCACCTACTTAAATAATTCAGTAGGTTGACCGTATGACATTCGTCAAGCCGTGCCGCAGGGCAAAACCTTACTCGAAAACTAAATGACCTCTTTTAAAAAAGTAAGGCTTACTACGGGCTACGAGAAGATGCTGCAAAAACCAGAGTCATCAGAAGATGTGGGAGTGCTGTCGACTTCTTAGCAGGATGGCTCCACAGAAGCGCTTAAAAGTTTACATGGCATAATTAGTAGGACCGTTTACGACAGGGAAGAATGTCTAAAAACAGAAATGGCAAACGTCATTAAAAGAGGTTAGGAAGACAAGGAACAAGAGATACACTTTCTGAACGGGAGAGCAATTATCTCAGTGACAGTGAGCCAATTTGCCGAGCAATCCTCACACCAGCATCCGAAAGGGATGACGAAATCACAGCCATTAATGGCTCGAACGCGGACTGTCAAGCCACCATCTCAGCGGTGATTGCGAGAGCTGCTAATTACAGTACGCATATGGTACTCCGGCAGCCGTGTGCTAAAAATACTGCACTCCTTGTGTCACCATTACCCTTATCTGCAACTGTCTCTGATGATGGCTTCGAGTGAGAATCCGAAACGTCAGGCCAATAAATGTCTTGTTCCAGTGATCACATCTTCGTCTTCTGAACTACTTCCTGGAATTCGCCTGTCCGCTTCTATCAGCAATGATCCTTATGCCCTCGGGTAGGCCCTCGAAGGCAGATGCTATCATGTAGCAGTTGCAATGGTAGAAGAAGGTCTTTCTGAGCGTAATACTTCATTCTCCGGTGAACACCCAAACCAGGAGTTCTAGGAACAGCTACACGCAAACAATGTTTTTGTTTGCTTTCTGAACGATTGCATCCGACACCGGTTCTGCCTCTACACGTGCAGGTTAAGGACTAGGGATGAGACTTATTCCATATAAAGTTCGATACTATCTCAACCGGCATACTGTGGAAATGAGAGTTATTCGCTTTATCAACACCTCACAAGCTCTTTAGGGACAAGCATATGCTTAACTTCGTTCTCGCTTTCCTGACGGATGTTCTCAAATCAATGTAGATAACTAGTACGGAATCAGTTCACCTATGTTTAATCACATAAGAACTTACTCCCCGCGCCCAGCAATTCACGACTCCTGGACCAGATGGAATCGGCGTCATTCCATTTCCAGCCGTGACTATAAAACGACCGATTTAACGTCGAAAAAGGCCTGAACCCAGCAGAACGAAACCACTCAAGGGTTGCAGTAATCTCAATATTCTGATGATGAGTTGGTTTTTCATTCGGCCAATGATCCACCCGCGTGGGCACTTCGCAGTCATTTGTAAACAGGACTGTACGAGAAGGGGCAATTTAGACGAATTTTGGCACTCTTTTCAACCTCTGTTGATGAACTCGAGTGAGAATGAAAGGTCACGTAAGCATGCCTATTTTCTGGATGTTTAACCTTCTTATTCTTCTTCGATTTCTAAGGACACTATCCACCTATCATCTCGACCTTTTGGATTTTTGGTAATGCAATTCTCCTCTTGTAATTCTTACTACTGTAGGCATCACCCGACCCTTATGCATTTATAATATGGCCTACGTTCAGTACACAGTTTTGCATACCGTTTCCAAAGAAATCTGAAGTCTTTGCACCATGTTTGTTCACAAACCACCAAAGCTGGCTTCTGTATACTTAGCTTTTGTAACTTTTTCTTCCCACTTTGCTCCAGTTATTGTGTCAGCTCCTCGTCTTTACCCTCACGCCTATGATGATGGGCGTTCAAAGAGAAAATGTGTGGACCCTGGATCGATAATAACATGTGACTCATGTTATTTGTGGAACCTCTCGTATGGCACCCAAAAGATGACCAGTCAGCTTACGATAACCACAAATCCCAGCCGGGTCTCGATCTATGGGCACAAAGAGACCCATTCAAGATGGACTGAAGAAGACTTTATAGCCTTTACAAAACCGCGAGTAGAAGGAAGCGATTTCCTCCTTTATGGGAACGATCACAGCTCGGATTTGGACAAAGATGATGCCAGTGAGGATAGTAGCGAAGAAAGGGGTTTCGAAAATGTTGGTCAGTCTATTCGCGCCTTCTCCATCATGGCCCGCCAGTCATCCCTGGCCCGAGCCTCGGCCGCAATCTCAGGTGGCACCATAGGAAGGATTTCAATTAAGGCGACAACTGAGCCTGAAACTCAAAGTAAGCCAACTTATCCTTAAATAAAAAGCAGTACTTCTGAAAATGCTGAATAAAATGTTTCATTGCATCATTTTTGGTCAAACCCAACCTCGAGATAAACTGCAAGAAGGCAGGCGTGCGTATTCGTTTCACGACTGTTTCCGATAAGAAGTAGACCCCAGGTCTATCCTTCACCAAGAATTCGAATTAATGCCCCCTCGAGGTGAGACCTAAGCGCGGATGCCGTAAATTTTATCATGATATTCAGGCATGCACTCAAGCACAAGAAATGGCAAAAGCAAAATTTGGCAAATTGAAACACAGATTTTTGGAGCCTCAAATTGTGTCTGAACCTTCCCCGAGTGCTCAGAAAAATACAGTAGGTGTGCTAATTCATGAAATGTTTACCGAAATTGTGAAATGCGTTTTCGACTCGAAAAGGTTACTCAAGCGGGGTTGTAACATCAATCACCGTGCAGCATGATCCAATGATAATTTGGTTACTTCAGGATGCCGGCTTTTGAACGAACTTTTTACCGGTCGTCTGCAAAAATTGCACAGTAAAAAATGTCTCCTTATGCGGTATGAGTTTTTTCCCATTGATTTTCGACGCCCTTATGAATGCAAATAAATATTTTTCAGAGAACATGCATAAAATATTAATGTTTACTCAATTACTAGGAAATTACGTCTTCTGCGAATTTATACTAAAGGGAATGCTTTAATTCGGCTTTAAAAATTCTAGAATCATGAGATTTTCCAAGACTGCAAAATGCCCGATTATAAAACATCGTGTCTCTGCATTTGGTAATGCTGCTTGCAAAGTTTACAATGCGTTCAAACCCACTGGTGGATTTTATGAAACCCCATGGACTCCTTTTAATACCGTACAAAAAATGCATGATTTTCCGTACGCGAAAAATATGCAACTTGTAGTTTGGAAACCCTGAATGTAAGTGTAACGGCAGGTCGATTTTGGTATTACTCCGGAATTGGAAAAAGTATTTTTTAAACCAAGTTAATTTGCAGAAGACGTAATTTCCTATCAAATGAGTAAAAATTAATATTTTTATGTATGTTATCTGAAAAATATTTATTTGAATTCATGAGGGCATCGAAAATCAATGGGAAAAACTCATACCGCATAAGGAGACATTTTTTACAGTGTAGTTTTTGCGGCCGGCCGGAAAAAAGTTCGTTCAAATGCTGGCATCCTGAAATAGCCAAATTATCATTGGATAATGCTGCTCGATAACGGATATTACACCCCTACTTGAGTATCTTTTCGAGTTGAAAACGCATTTCACAATTTTGGTCAGCATTTCATGAAGTAGCGCATCTACTGCAGATTACAGGTACATTCATTTTTTGGGAGTATTAATCGTTTTTTAAGTATTTAGGGATTTTCCGTTGGGTCCAATTTATTTTATTAATGAGCTAAGCATCTACAACAGCCAAATGTTTTTCATTCCTTTCCAAAGGGTATCTTACTCCTTCCTGGCGAGGCCTCGTAGTTCTAGTGGTTAAAGCGTTGAATGTACTGAAGCCGTTCCCGTACTACGTGGGTTCGAATCCCACTAAGCCGCCGAGTTTTTCACAATTGGGTCAATATGAATTTTTCGAAAATCTGCCAAAACATCTATGAATTACGTGAGCCTGGTAATAATGTGGGGGATCCTAGGTGAATTACTTAGGAAATCCTGCTTGGGCACTCAACTTACTGTATCAGATTTGGTGGACTCCAGACGTTGCAGTAGGTTGGGCGGTTAACGTGACCCAAATATGATTAAACTCGCGTCGTTTGTTGGGAACTCGGAGTCCAAGTGGTTAGAGCGTTGGCTGTACTAAAGCCTCCCCTTAGCTGTCGTGGGTTCGAATCCCACCGAGGCGCCGAATGTTTCACAGATGGGCCAATATGAACTTGTTATTGGTTTTTTATTTATAATTTTTTACAGAGGTCATTTCCATTTTTATTCAATTCACGGAAAACTCATGAGAAAAAGATACATCGCGACAGCGATTGGTCGTTTTCAAGACGGATATCAGCCAAAGCAACTTAAGCGAAACCGCCATACCCGCTTGGTCTAGAGTGTTCGCTCAATCCCGGTAGGTGCAGTATGTGGGCTAACTCATGAAATGTCAGCAGAAATTCCGAAATGCGTTTCCGTTTCGAAATGATTAATTGAGTAGTGTCGTATAACCAATCATCGCACAGCAAAATTCTATAATACTTCAGTTACCGTAGGATATCAGCTTTGGAACAAACTTCTTTTTGGCTGCATCGTAAAACATACTCCGTAAAAAATGACTACTTATATAGCACGCATTTTTATCATTGGTTTTCGCTGCCCTTAAGAATTCAATTATATTTCATATTATTCACTATATCATTATATAAATATATTATTATATATTATTATATTGCATCTATATTATTATATATTATATGTTATTATATAATTATTTATATTCATATGTCGTTATATTATAGGCATTATTTCGCTTATTTAGTAGAAACTCGCGTCTTTTTTGAGCTTTGCACTCGAAGGAAAGGTATAATTCGGTTTTCAAAAAGTTTCTAATCAAGGGATTTTTTAAAAACGTGAAATGGCCTTTCATAAATTTCCTGTCTATGCATTTACCAACGTGGCTTATAAAGTTAACAATGTGAATCAAATCCACTGCATAATTTTATGAACCCCATATGGTATCCTCATAATACGGTAGAGAAATGTATAGTTTTCAGTACGCGGAAATTATACGACTTGTAGTTGGGAAACCCTGAATGCAAGTGTAACGGCATGTCGGGATCAAAATTATGCAGGGATTGGAAAAGTTTTATAAAACCAAATCATACCCTTCCTTCGAGTGTAAAATTCAAAGAAGACGTAATTTTCTACTGAATAAGCAAAAGAATGAATATTTTTATGTGCTTTCCATGAAATATAATTAAATCTTTAAGGGCATCGAATATCAATGAGAAAATGCATGATATATAAGTAGTCACTTTTACGGAGTATGTTTTTAGAAGCAACCGAAAAGAAGTTTGTTCGAAAGCCGGGGTCCTGGGGTAACTGAACTATTATAGAATTTTGCTGTACGATGATTGGTTTTACAACCCTTTAATAAATCTTTTCGAAACGAAAATGCATTTCGGAATTTCTGTTGCAATTTCATGAGTTAGCCCATGTTCTGTAGTCGGATGCGTTAAGAGCCTCGATTCTGCCTTGAATTATAAAGTTTTTGTGCCTGACGGCATTAACGCATAGACCGTTGCCTCATTCATCAAAGTACTGTGCCTACTTTCCCCGACTTTTCTGTTTTGCCATATCCAATAAATTGTTCCAACACAAAGTCGGTTACTGTTATCGCGGCAGAACCGGTAATAAGACAGACTGAAGTCACTGTTTCTGACTTAATTATTACCGTCGACAAGCCGTTCTTTGGTTTTAGACCTGAAAGACCTGGGCTTTTTCTCCCAACCTAACCAGCGACTGATTTTAACTCTACCATTTGGACCAGAGGTTCACGCTTTAGCGTGTCTATTAGAAAAGTCAAGGTCACCCAGATGGCTGCCACTTATCAGGCCTTATTTTAGAACAGGAATCGAGACCTATGGTTTGATTTCGAGCTTCACTTTTGAAGCCCGTCAGTGGCTGAATGATGTCAGGCAATCAACCGTCCAATGTTAAAGTACGTCATAAGCAGGCATTCCAATGGACTGGCCATTTCCGGTTCATATTGGCTCAGGTCGGCATCCGTGGGATCGGAAATATTCAAAGTCGCGGGCGACTGATGTTCGCTGACTTGTTTTGATTAAGGAACGCGAATGAGAATTTCTATTTTGCCTTGGAGCTACGGGCTCTCAGACCACGTAGATGGTTGCAAAGCGTCAGCAACTAATAAACAAGAGATGCTGCAAAAAAACAAACGACACTAAAATGGTCACTTCTGACTTGCCTGGATTACATTAGAAGTTTTTTGCCTTGTCTTGTCTCCCGAATTGGAATAAACTCTCAATGACACGCGTGCTTTGCCGATCTTCTGACGTTTTACGATACAAACTGCAAGGGGTTTTGCTCCTTAGTGTGTATAACAGAGGTACTTATTTCGGTTCTGGTACATCGTCAGTTGTTTTTAACTTAAATTTTATGATTCTGTCTGACAGTAATCAACAACTTGTCAAAGGGCCGCAATAAGGTAGTTCGTTCGTTCGTCCCAAGCGAAGAGAATCACGATCGTCCCGGAGAGGACATATTAATTATTTGCGAAAGAATTTTTTTAAAAATAAACAAGCGTTCTCTGCGTCTATTTCAGTTTCTATTCCCACGCTCTTCCCGTTAAAGTGACATAACATAGTCAGGACCATTGGATGTAGGTGTGAGCTCAGTGTCCGATAGAGTCGAACAATCCGTATTTACGCATCCTACACGAGTCGGTCACAAGTCGACAAAGCTCAGTATTCAACGAAGAAATGTCCCCGGATTTATCGGCATGAGAATGTCATGGAGGTCGTGTTGAAAATGACCCAATTTAATGTTTCCTTCATTTCATAATTAGACGGAATGAGTGTTGTTACAATTCTCGGCGCGTCATTATAGTTTTAAAGCACGTTTGGTTACTTGACGTGAGGAAAACTAGACGCTGGATCCGTGTTGGATCCCCGTACTCCGCGTAATACCAGTGGCAAGTCCGAGTTAAGCCGAGAGGGACTGAGGGTGGAAGTAATAACTGTCATGCCCAGAACTTTAGTCTAACCTTTGTACAGCAATAGGTGAGGACTCGATGAGATTCAGCGCAGCCTGACTAATGCGTGCCGCATGAGCTATTATGGGTCTCTCTGGGCCAACACACGGCGGCACAACTTATACGCACACACGTATAAAAGCCAGGCCATCAATAATGACAGTGTGCCAGCTAGTAAGAGTAGATTAGAATATCTGTTAGCCACTTAAACGTCATCGTTGTTGGTCACGTCAATCCTAAATTATACAGTAAGTGACCGATCTCCTGAAATGTTGACTGGAATTCTAAAATGCGCTTTCGATTAGGAAGGATTACTTGGGCGCGGTTGTAATACTGATTATCTTGCGGCGTAATCCTATAGTATTTCGGACTCGGCAGGATGTCAGCTTTTGAATATAATGCTTTTCAATCTCCTGCAGAAACCGTACTCGGTAAAAAATGATCACGTAAGTAGCATGCATTTTTCCCTTTGATTGTCGATGGTCTTGCAAATTCAAATATATCTTATGGAAACCATAAACAAATATCTGCTTTCTTTCAGTCGTTCACTCACGTCATCTTTATATGTTTCACTCGAAGGAGGAGTATAATTATGTTTTAAAAGATTTTCAAATTGTTGAATAATTTGAAGCCTTAGCGCTTGGAGCATTTGCGTTTTCTGATTTCCGTCTTCAAGGTGCATGCGTTCCTCGTAAAGAAAACCACATATTTTTCTATGCCTTTAAAAGGATATCATACATAATCCATAAAATTTTGCAATGAATGCGGACTATGTTGCACATTTCATGAGGAGCTGTGGTAAACGGCCAGATACAATGCTATGTGAATGGACATTGCGCGGTCTAAACAAATCTCATAATCAGAAACTTGTTTAAAACCTAATTATACTCCTTCTTCGAGTGAAACATATGAGTATGACGTGCTAAACCGACAGAAATAAAGCATATATTTGTTTATGGTTTCCATAAGATACATTTAAATTTGCAAGACCATCGAAAATCAATGGGAAAAATGCCTGCTAAATAAATGATCATTTTTAACCGAGTATGGATTCTGCAGAAGATTGAAAAGCAGAATACTCAAAAGCTGACAGCCTGCCGAGTCCGAAATACTATAGGATTAGGCCGCAAGATAATCAGTATTACAACCGCGCCTAAGCAATCCTTCCCAATCGAAAGCGCATTTTAGAATTTCAGTCAACATTTCAGGAGATCGGTCACTCACCGTAAGTCCCGAGTTTCTTATTTGGTTCAATGACTTTGAAGCTCACCGAGATCAAGTGCGCTGTATTTTGGAGCTACTGAACTATCCGTCCTCGATAACAGAAAGCACATATCATTTTGAAGGAGCGCTTACTGGAGATAACCCATTCCAGCGCGGCCTGGACTCTGTGTCATCATGAAGTAAGCGTTCTCGTCTCACCTGCCTTTCTCCATGTGTCCTTCGGCATTCGGGCCAGTTTTGGAAAAGTTTACTACAGACGCTAACAGGCTGAAAATTAATGGGAAACAATATGTTTGTCCTCTGTCATGAAAGAGAAATGAGGATCTCGGGAAATATTACCGATACAAACTAGAGCGTTCAATGCGCAGCGAGGCTCTGACAGTCGCCCCGGCCGACCACAGATGGAGCTTCATGATCGACGGAGGGAGAGTGGTCGTCGTCGCAACAACCACCTCGGTCTTCTGTCTCGCCGCGTTCCAATTTTTGACATTCTATCGGTAAAATTCCCGACAGCAACAAGTTGTGTAACTTTGAAGGGTCAGGAAGCAGCCCCTTCTTTTCAGGTCGCCAAGTACCTAAAAATTGTACAATTAGACACCAGTTTTATTTCAACCAGAGTATTTGTTGCGTTCTCTCTATTTTCTTTTCATTTCTCTTTCTGGCTCCACTTGGCTCCTCCTTTTAAGTTGCTATTTCTTTCCGTAGTAATGAGACCTGCGAGTGGATCCTTCAACCCAGCCGGACGTTCCACTGTTATTCTCGGTCCAAACGACTACGTCAATCCAAACATGGGGTCTGATGTAAGTTTTACTCAGTCTTTTACGTTTCCACACTAGGCACCAGCTACCTACTGAAGCATGTTTGAAGTCTAGAGAGGATCTACAAAAGTGCTCATAGCGCAGATAAGTAGGATGCATGGGGTCCATTTAAAATGACGCACGCATCTGACAACTGCACGCGGCAGAATGCCGATCCAAAGTTATGGAGCAGCGTACTCAGTCGTTGATGCTCACACAGTTTTTCGCAAAGCCCAGAAGAAAATTGTTATAGTCCGGAAATAAATCGAGGCGAAATCTCTTTAATGCGACTAACTACAATGCGTGACCAATCTCATAAAATGTTGGCAAAAATTCTGGAATGCGTTTCCGATTAGGAAGGATTACTTACGTGGGGTTGTTTTACTGATTATCATGCAGCATAATCCTATAACATTTCAAAATCGCCAGGATTCCGGCTTTTGAATGGCCTTCTTGCTGACCTCCTGCAAAAACCTTATTTGTTATAAAATGACTACTTAAGTAGCATTCATTTTTACTATCCATTTTCGATGGACTTATAAATTCAAATATATTTTATAGAGAACATGCACAAAAACATGCTTTCTTTTGCTCATGTGGTAGGAACTCGTATTGTCTTCATATGTTATACCCGAAGAAAGTGTATACTTAAGTTTTAAAATGTTTCTAATCATGAAATTTTTAAGAGCGTGCGATGCCCATGAATACAAGATGGCACATGTCCGTTTACTAATGCTTCTCGAAAAATGTACAACACAGTCCGGATCCATTGCAAAATTTCATGAACTCCATGTGGTATCTTCTTAAAGGCATAGAGGAATATATAATTTTCCTTGCGCGGAAAGCATGCACCAAGTAGACTGCAACTGCTAAACGATGAAGCAATCGCAGATCAGACTGGAAATTATTCGGGAATTGGGAAACTTTTTTAAAACCGAAATATACACTTTCTTCGGGCATAACATATATAGACAATATGAGTTCTTACCAAATGAGCAAAGAAAGCACATTTTGTGCATGGTCTCTATAAAATATATTTGAATTTACAAGTCCATCGAAATCGATAGTAAAAATGAATGCTACTTAAGTAGTCCTTTTATACCGAGTGTGGTTTTTGCAGGAGGTTAAAAAAGTGCATTCAAAAGCCGACATCCCATTTAAGTAATCCTTCCTAATCGGAAACGCATTCCAAAATTTTGGCCAACATTTCGTGAGATCGGTCACGCACTGTAGCCTTGTGAGCCAGAAACAGACGAAAATCTGGATTCTTACAGTCCTGGTAGAGCGGGAGCAGCAGAGGTATCCGGGTGTTTAGATGCCACCACCGAGTGGAATTCTACCGACAGTGCGAAATGACAAATACTGCCTATTTTTGAAAATGCTTGATGAGTGATTAATGATTTGTTCTGCATATGTTGGAAGGTTTCATTTGGTCCTCCCTCCTTTCGTCACTGACATTTGCCAGTACCAGACTGCTATGAGTCGTCCTGGAAGTAATGATATCCGGACTTCTAGTCTAATACTTTCTGTCTGATACAGGCTATGATGTGTAGTTTGACCTTCTTAAAGAGGTTGATATGTCGACTGAGGGATTCTGCATTCAAAACATAGGCCTTCAAGTTGAACTGCTCAGCTTCTGTGCTGTCCTGGCCAATTTGCAGTAGCAGTAGTCAGGTTTCCATCCTTCATTTGGTTTCTCTGTGTCGCTGTGATCACTTTAGCTGCAGATTGACGCTCTGATAAGTACGGATTTTTCTCGATAGGACAAGAAATTTTGAGTCGCGGCTTTGGATCTAACCACGTCAGAGCACGTCTGAGCAGTCCTCCGACAGCCCAAGTAGACCAAAATTACCTAAATTTCATAAAATAATGAATTTGTTTCAAAGGTCACATCCGGGTCCTCAAATTCGCCGGAACTTAAGGATTAACTGATGCCAGCGTACGATGTGCGGTGCAAGTTAATAGGCCAAGTATCTAAACTGTTATGGTAGATGGTTGCTCACCGATCAGATTACGGAGCGTGCTCGGTCCGTTGTGCCATGGGGCTCAAACTAGAGCTCTCGCAGGCAGTTGCAGAGCGACTTGTAATATGGGTAGATAAGATGGTACGAAAAAAGACAAGGGGGACCAGAATGGCAATTTCCGGTTCGTTAGTCGTCATCAACCAGTCATACCCAACTCCAGGTGTGGAGCGCCTGACATTCAGATGCTTTATAAAGTCGCTTGTTTTCTTGGGCGACATCTGTAGATCTGTTAGTCAATCAAGCGTCAGCAACACAGAACTGGTGTTGACTGTGTGGGACCCTGTATACCGACAACAGATGAATATATCGATTTGCTGAATTCTCTGCAGAGGCCTAGACTTATCTTGTTTATGGCATGGGTAATTAATATGGCGGCTACGAAGTTGAACTCACGACCCGCTTCGAAAGTGTGGGCAGCCATTTGTGGTAAATCGTCGTACCGTCGTATGGTCGCGCATTAGGACTTAATAAGTCCTTGATTTTCATGAACCTACTGTCCATGGAAACTTTGAGCGGTTGCTCCGCTGAGCCGGACGAAATAATTGCGATTGTGGTGGATAAGCCGCAGCAAACAGTCTTACTATAATATCCCTCTATGTAATTTTTAATTAACATCTTTGCATATGGCCTGCTGAGTCATCCCACGAAGTAATATCTAGATTATTTCGATGACCTTTAAGTGTGTTGTGGCCTTCTACACACTGAGTATGACGCCTTGCCTCAAAATTTGGAAGTGTCGTCCAGGGCTGAGAACCACAAAATGTACCAGCTCATCACTCAATCAGATTGTGCTTATTCGGTAGCTGGAAATAAACGGCGCTGAGTGCGTAGAATAACGAAAAGTAGTTTGCATAACTGATTCCTATTGAACGCAGCTGACCACTAGGCGGAGTTCCTGATTTTTCGGCCTGATATCTGGGACCCTGAGTCAATCGACCCAATGACCTTAGCACAATAGCGGAGAAATATGGGCCTTCTGTAGAAGTTGCTAGCTTAGCAGCCACGACCGACGTTTAAGCCGGTATGTATAGGGATAATGAGCCCCTTTGTTAAAAAAGTGCATGACGCGTGGACGTGACAGTATTTGCGTTGACAACGTTCTGAGATATAACTTTTTAGAAAAAATTCCAACCTTAATCATAGGAGACTCCAATGCACCTCTTACTGCCCACGCATCTGGTCCAAACCATACATTCGACCGACGTTTATTGGACATGACGCTCAGGCTATTTCTCACTCAGCACGTCTCGTTTCCGACGAGGGTGCACGAAGGGAAACAGTCAAATTGTCAAAATCTGGTCCTTAGGAAGTCGCTAAACAGCATTGATGAGGTGCAATATCTTCCTCCCCTAGGTCGAAGTGACACCCTTGTACTGTTGTGGGGGTACTCCATCATTTCTGTGCCCAAACAAGCCAACAGAGCTAGAAGGAACATTTGGCGCGGCGACTTTGTCGAAATGAAAGCTGAATTAAACACCATAAACTGGGAATCAGTTTTTTCCGGTGACAAAATCAAGAATTGTGACTGTCCTAGTGAGTGAGTTCATCTCAGAGACCTCTGTCCTATTTCACGGAAGAACCTGAACAGCAGACCCACATGGTTAACACAAACTTTACAAAAAGAAGTGAATAAAAAACAGAGGTTATGGAGAAAATTCCACTTGAATAGGAGCTCTGTGTCGATGAAGGCATACAAGGCACAGAGGAACCTAGTTAAAAAAACTTTTCGTCGGGACGCGGCGCAATTTCGAGGAAGACCTACTAAATCGGGCCGCAGGAAATTCGAAATTATTCTATGGTTATCTAAGAAGAAGCAAGCAAAACAGAGACCCGATCCCATTACTGAAAGCTAATGAAGACTTAGAGTCCAGTGAAAACGGAGAAATGACAGAGTACGTTTCACAATTTTTTAAGTTTATCTTTACGAAGGAAAGGGCATTTAATACTCCCGACTGCGACACTGGACGGGCCAACGATTCAGGCCGAAGCTATTGTTCGCAGAGAACTATTGGAGCTGAATGAGTCTAAATCGCCTGGGCCGGATGACATACAGTCCAAATTGCTGAAGGAGCTTGCTGGAGAACTATTTAAGCCGCAGTCCATGCTCTTCCAAGCTTCGTTCGAAGCAGGCTATTTGCCCGCCGATCGGAAATCTGCACGGAACACGCCATCTTATAAAGGCGGCAGCAAGGTCTTAGCAAACGACCACAGACCAATCAGCCTTACGTCAGCTTGCAGCAAAATTATGAAAAAATAATTAGGCGAAAATAATGTGTTTCCTAGAACAGCATAATCTGCTATGCGATGCCCAGCACGGATTCCGTAGTGATAGATCATGCGTGACAAATCTATTTTATTGTTTAGAACGCTGGACCCGGGCAGTTAACGGCGGCAATACAGTGCGCGCAGTCTATGTCGACTTTAAAAAAGCATTCGATAGTGTACCACATCAGCGTTTCCTGTACAAATTAAGCCAAAGAGACATTAGAGGTAATCTCCTAAGGTGGATCCAAAGCTTCTCCATCGGTCGCTCTCAAATCGTCCACGTCGGTGACAGGCAGTCAGCGGAGGTAGCGGTTGAAGGCAGTGCTCCTCAGGGATTCGTTCTTGGCCCTACCCTGTTCATTATAGACGTCAACGACTGCTTCAGTGAATTGAATTGTGATGTCGCCATGTTTGCTGGTGATTTTAAGCTTTGGAGCGTCATCCTAACTGAATTTGATGAAGAGCGCTTGCAGGCAAACCTGAACCGGCGCGAGGAATGATCACAGAACTGGCTTTTGCAGTTTAATGTGACTAAGTGCAACATTCCGCGAGTCGATAGGACCCGATCTCCGAGCCGCAGGGTTTACCACCTCAATGAAATACCGTTTCAGGAGGTAGACGCCCAGAAAGACTAGGTTGTGTGGGTTACAGCTTCACTTAAACCGTCACTCCACGGCTCTAAGGTAGCCAATTCCGCGATGTCAGTCCTTTACCTTGTCAAGCGGGCTTTCTCTACCTTAGATAAGGACTGTTTCGCTAAAGTCCTACGGACATTTGTGCGGCCACAACTAGAGTTCGCTATTCAGGCGTGGAAACCTTGGTCCTCAAAAGATCTCAGCTTCCTTGAGAAAGTTCAAAGGCGGGCAACCAAACTCGTTAGTGGACAGGGTTCACTACCCTAAGAAACATAATCATCCAGTCTCTGTCTTCTTCCTCTGAGTTACAAACAACTAAGAGGGGACCTGATACAAACATTCTGCATCATACACGATCAGGACTGCTGTCTTTTACCTGCTAACTTCATTGAGTTAGCAACCAAAACGAACCTCCGAGGTGACCCATTCAAACTACGTGTGACTGGCGCCATGCTGGACATTCGAAAGTCCTTTTTTCCAAACAGAGTGATCGAGGCTTGGAATGCTCTGCCAGCGGATGTCGTCATGTCCGTTGAGGCTTTTAAGCGCAAGTTGGACCAGTGTACCACTTAACGTCATAATGTCACCCGATCGATATCGACTTAGCGTTCCGTTCGAACAGTTTATTGCTGTTATAATATTACTGTTTGTGTCTCAGTAGCGTTTAGTTTTTGTTCGACTATAGTCTTAAGTCATTGAATTTGAATGTCGGCATCGACCCGTCTCCCTCAGATAACTGAGATCGTACCAATATTATGCGGCAAATTATACGTAGACTAACTACTGTGCAGCGTATTTAACAATGTTAACGGCTAAAAAAGACAAAAAGACACTGTATGCTCTGACGTGTTTCCTCGGCGGTAGGACGAAAGGCCCTCGAGGAGATTAGCGGCGTCGATTTTTGTAGGCTTGATGAGAAAAATCAAAACGTAGACCCATGACAAGTGAACATTCTCTTGAAATAATTCAGACATCGAATTTTCCTTATCCATGGTTAGGTATAACTCGCCCCCCCCCCGGGGAATAGGTTAGAAATGACCACTCAAGTCTCGCCTGTCTGATAGTTCGTTATGTAACGCTTATAGATACAAATTGATGAACTTTCGCGTACGCGTTCTCCCAAAACTATGCTTAGACCGTTTCCAGTATGGAGTTCACCTATCTAATCGGATTACAAATTTGTTTTCAATCTCAACCTCATTTGTCATTACTTGCCAGCCGTTTCCCAAACCAACCCCTAAAGGACTGCAACCCAGTCGGACGGGTGAACTTAGCTTCATGTGACTTTAAATAGACCAAATCTGAACATGGCCTGTGCGCACTGCCGTGACTCGATGGGGCAGGTTTTGACTCCAAATCAACTGGAATTGCATTAGAAACTCCGGTTTTCTCAATGAAGGCATGATATATAACTGGTCAGCAATGACAGTTCGGCTAGAAACGACTATTCTGGCAGCTTCGATTTTATCCTTAAACTCTTTGGTCATATGCAGTGTTTTAGTTCTTACACTGGTGACATTTTTCCAGCCAAAGGCGCAAAAATGATACACCGTGGTCAATATCCAGCAAAGTTAGTTCAGAACTGCTAAGCTAAATGAATTATGAAGATCAAACGGACTTGATTACATATTGAAGCGTATTACCAGTTGATGAAAGGAGTATTGGCTGCCGCGGACCTGTGAGTAGAGTAAGAATACAGCTGCCATTTGGGACGAGTGTTTAACTAAATACCTCCCAACCGCCAAAATAATTGCCTAAGTCTAAAGCAGGACAAGCCGAAAATTGATTGAGGCCTGGACGTCTGATTAAAACTTTAGCAAATGTAAAAATAAGAACGATTTCTTCGGAGGTATTATCCACTTACTTGCTTGACTTCTAAGTTGATTCCTACTGGATCCATTTGCGTACGACTGACTGCGAAATGTGACGTGAGGAAAAGGACCAGGTGTTCCGAAATATCGTTTAATACATTACCTGAATTTTAGTATGCCTCAGCTTCTTAGTCATAGATCTGTCCTGTGCTTCGATCCTCGAAATACGCTCTAGACCAATCAAATTCCTCTCATTTATCCGTCTCGTGAAGTTCATCCAAGACTGTCGCTTTCCTTTTTAGAGTGCTTTAAAAGCATTTTCCTCGTTTGATTCCTATAGGTTGAGGCGCTTCACACAGCAATCTCAGTCATGCACAGGAAATTTGACGAGGTGCCTGGCAGTTACAAGTTATGGGAAAAGTGGTTTCGGCCAGTGTGCGATCCGATTCGTCGACTTAATGCGATAAACAGGCGGTTTGAAATCAAATACCAAGTGAAGGTGCTCGACTATCGACGAGACGAGTAAGTGGTTAGTTTGGTTTCGTAGTTTTATTGGCTTACACCCTTCTGCGTTAAAGTTCTTCGAGCTGCAATGTAAGCTTTGAAACTAGTTAAGTATTGGCTAGAATCGATGAACTGACAAATTCTTGGGAACAAAAAACCGACTCGAATGGTTTATGACACTAAGCTTGGCATGAGAGCTCAGGTTGTATCCCACATTGCAGAATATTGAATTCTCACAGATGAGCATTATGAGCCATCTACGCCGATTTCAGTCGGATTTCATCAGTGTTCCTTGGCATAAATCTCATATTTGTCTTTAACGCCTAAGTCAAGCCAATTATTTGTGTCGGAAAAATAAGAGAATGAGGGTTCCTCGTCTTCTGTCGTTTTGACTGGAAGTATGTCTTGACATATCTTAGTTGAAGAGATGTGTATTTAAATTTTTCCATAATCCCCCATTCCCGCACACTTTGAATACAATATGTTTACTTGGCGTTATGGGATTTACTGCAGAAAAAATATCGGTCTCCGCGTTGCGTCTCGCAACCAATATATATCGGTGAGCTACAAAAAAGCAAATTAGTAAGTCAGTTCTATTGAGGGTACCGGAAAGAAATGTCATTTTGGTGTCTTACTTGGAGCGCCATTTATCAAATGTCTGTCTATCTAAACTATGTGTCCTCTTAAATTAAATAGATCCTGTTTTTTAGATTTTAATTTGCATATTGTTTTGTTCTACTGAGCCTGACAAAATGGAAATATAAGATCCGAAATCGGTTGTGCTCATCATTGTATGCTGCATGAATTTCGCAAGGAAAAGAACACAACAACAGCCATCAAAATAATTTTTGGCGTTTATCCGAATGCTTTAAAAATCCGGAAATGCCACCGTTGGTTCACGAAATTTCAATCGGAGAATTTTGATCTCTCCGATGCCTTTCGACCTTTTGCGTGCGACCATTGAGGGAGATACTCGCCAGATCACCGAGGAATTATCCGAAAAATAGACTCCGTCATGTCTTACCGTTTCTAAAGCACCTTCAGCAGCTGGAGAAGTCAGCAGACAAGAGTTTGGGTTCTACGGCAATTTGGAAGGCTGTTAGCTGACGAGATAACTCAAGCCTCGCCATCAGCCCAGTGTGTGTGTTTGTGTGGAGTGGTGGTCTGGTGGACTGAGTCGGGCTGCAATGACCTTTATGGCACTCCCAGTCGGTGGGATCCGAGCCGCTCCCTTTCCTTTCTTGTATAAGATCCTGGTCGGTTTACGTTGAAGGCGCTTGGACGGGAGTTTCCGCCGTGCCAGCCGCCTGCGCATACTCCCGCCTCCGGTCTTCTTGACTCTGTCATAGCACCAGCTCCAGAGGGGGGACAGGAGGGAGTGTGATAGATGCTGCGTGAGTCTACTATTACCATAGACGAATTCACGCATATTTCACCGTCCCTGCTCTCAGCCTACGGTGGAGCACACGACGGACATAATCGAAACCGGCTCTCGACCTGTCGTGTGTAGATAAAGTGGTGTCGACAAAAACAAGGGAGACCGGGGGCTCTTGTATGATAGATAATATTCCCGACCATAATCGAGAGAACAACGAACCCGTTGTTTGAAAGAACGCCTTTTGCGAGCATAAGATTTGGTTGGCTATTCGTATAGCCGCAACCTCTTCTGTCGTAGGAACTTGGAGTACCTCGTTCCGCAGGTTGCTTGCTGCTACCTTCGAACAATTGCATACTGACCTGCCAAAATACTTTGGTCGATCTAACGCAAAATAGCACCATACAGCCTGCTGGACACCTTCAAATTCATCGACTTCAAAAGAAATACACAGCTAAGTTGGAAAACTATGATATTTATAAACGTCTCGTTTTTCTCTACTAATACTGCAGTTACCGCCACGACATAATATTTTGGGGACAAGATTGCTAACCAGGATTTGCCAATTGGCATGCCGGTAGCAGCTTTAAGGGAGCTGTCCTTCACGCACATTAAATGTTCAATTCAGATCCGACCGTCAATAGAACCGCCTGATTGACGAAGTAATGACGGGATCAAACTACGGACTCCATACTAGCGAATGGCTTTATGTGAAAACTAAAAAACCCAGTTCTATTCCGTAGTGAAGGACCCTAATTCCTATGCGTGATATGTTGATGACACTGCTAATAGCGAATGAGAATCCTGCTTTTTACACCCTCCTGGATAAAATGAATCAAGCTCCCCCAGCGTTGACCTTCATCTTGGAATAATAGGAAGAAGGGCACCTTTCCTTCCTGAAAGTCTTACATAACAGAACGTGTAATGGAACAGTTTTTGGGAGTGTATTTTGCAATAAATAAACAGGACATTACACAAATTCCTACAGCTTTATCCCTCTAACTCAGAAGCGAGGTTTAGTTCTCTGCCTAACCAACAGAGATAGGAGAATGTACACTCTGGATAAATTGGAGAACGGAATCGCTTTTATACGAAACACTTCGAGGATATGGTTCCCCCTATAAATGCATCGAGAGATATATGAGGGAGCCTTCCCAAAAACAAGCATGCCCGCG